CCAACAACATCGAAAACATATAGGAATACACAATGATTGTGGACTCTCGGGCCCCTCTTTGGTCGGCTCTTGGCGGCCCCTTGGGACGTCTCGGGCGCTGTTGAGGTCGACTGGAGACCATCTGGGGCGTCTTGGACTGATCGTGTGGCGATTCGGGGCCCTCTTGCACCGTCTTGGGGCCCTCTCGGGCCGGCTGCGCTACCCGGGAACGCGAGCGACACACCCCGGGAATCCCGAGGAATCCCTGGAAATCCTTGGGAATCCCCGGGAATCCCCAGGAATCCTTGTGCAGCCGGTGGCCCAGGCCCAGGATGGGCCTGGGCAGCATCGGTGTATGTATATGGCTGGCCTCCTCGCGATGGCGGTGGTCTTCGTTTCTCCTTTGAGGCACAGGGCTCCATCATGTTCTCTCTAAGCGCACCTCTGGCACGCCAGCCCCGCAGAGTCCGATCACCGCCCTAGACTTCCGACGATATGATTTTCAATGTTTGTGTGTGTGTGCCTTGGATCTCTGGGCTGATCGACCGCGTTGGCGTCCGCCTTCGCCGCTGACCAAACATTGTTGTTCCCCATATCCTAAGATGGGGTTCTTGTTATTACTTGGACGCCTCCTACTCCCTCTCCTTCTCCCTCCTCCTCTTTCCTCCTCCCCTCCTGTCGGACCTACTCATACTCAGACTTGCTCATACTCAGACTTACTCATACACAGACTTACTCATACTCAGACTTACTCATACTCAGACCTACTCATACTCACACTTACTCACACTCAGACATACTCATACACAGACTTACTCATACACAGACTTACTCACATCCAGACGCACTCATACACAGACTCACTCATACCCAGACTTACTCATACACAGTATTAGTCATACTCAGACTTACTCATACCCAGACGTACACATACACAGACTTTCTCATACACAGACCTACTCATACCCAGACTTACTCATACACAGACTTACTCATACACAGACTTACTCATACTCAGGCATACTCATACTCAGACCTACTCATACTCAGACTTACTCAACACACATCAGATTTGGAGGATGTCTCAAGCGGGGCGCTGGTTTCAGCACCCCTAAGGGGAGCCGCCAGGGGTGTTTGCACGGGCTCGTTCGCGGCCATTTTGTGGGGATGTCTCAGGCGGTTTGCTTGTTTCTGGGCTCAACATCCTTCGCTTGGAGAGCAGATTGTGAGGATGTCTCAGGCGGGGCGCTGGTTTCAGCACCCCTAAGGGGAGCCGCCAGGGGTGGTTGCACGGGCTCGTTCGCGGCCATTTTGTGGGGATGTCTCAGGCGGTTTGCTTGTTTCTGGGCCCAACATCCTTCGCTTGGAGAGCAGATTGTGAGGATGTCTCAGGCGGGGCGCTGGTTTCAGCACCCCTAAGGGGAGCCGCCAGGGGTGGTTGCACGGGCTCGTTCGCGGCCATTTTGTGGGGATGTCTCAGGCGGTTTGCTTGTTTCTGGGCTCAACATCCTTCGCTTGGAGAGCAGATTGTGAGGATGTCTCAGGCGGGGCGCTGGTTTCAGCACCCCTAAGGGGAGCCGCCAGGGGTGGTTGCACGGGCTCGTTCGCGGCCATTTTGTGGGGATGTCTCAGGCGGTTTGCTTGTTTCTGGGCTCAACATCCTTCGCTTGGAGAGCAGATTGTGAGGATGTCTCAGGCGGGGCGCTGGTTTCAGCACCCCTAAGGGGAGCCGCCAGGGGTGTTTGCACGGGCTCGTTCGCGGCCATTTTGTGGGGATGTCTCAGGCGGTTTGCTTGTTTCTGGGCTCAACATCCTTCGCTTGGAGAGCAGATTGTGAGGATGTCTCAGGCGGGGCGCTGGTTTCAGCACCCCTAAGGGGAGCCGCCAGGGGTGTTTGCACGGGCTCGTTCGCGGCCATTTGTGGGGATGTCTCAGGCGGTTTGCTTGTTTCTGTGCTCAACAGGGAGGGACTGACAGGAACGAGGATGAGGAGGAGGAACAGGAGGAGGAGGAGGAGGCGGGGGATCGTGAGGAAGGGCATAGGGGGTGCGGAGGGGGAGGGGGAGCAGGAGGATGAGGAGGAGGAGCAGGAGCAGGAGAAGGGAGGGGGCGTAGGAACAGGAGGAGGAGGAGGAGGGCGCTTTGTTCGAAGGTCCTTGACGCGAGCAGAACGTTTGTTCCGAAGTCCAGGACATATATATATATATATACACATATATATACATATATATATATATATATATATATATATATGTATTCATAGGGGGCGACTGCGAGGGGGGGCGGTGGTTGTGTGCGGGGATCGTTGGAAATGCTCACCGTGGCACTATCCTCCAACATGGCATGCACTTATGGCCTTGTGTGGCTAAACGCTCGTCTTACATATCCCACTGCCAGCTATCCTACAACATATGCACATGTGGGAAGCTCCAAAACTACCACGGGCTGAAAAGGGGAAGGCCTGGCAGCTAAGGAGGGGGGGATGAAGAGGAAGAGGCTCGCATTCAACCGTACTCAAAGCTCACTCTGACTCATACGCAATCACTCGCATTAGGGGTCACTCGTCTTCGTCGGCCCTGTCGCCCACGTGCACGCGCTATTGTAGTCGACCGCTCATGAACAGACGCTCACCACGGCATGACATAAAACATGAGATGCACATATGGGGAGCTCCACGCAGTGAGTAATTCGTTGATCTCGACGTCTGGGGGCCGCTTTCGGGTGGGGGGGCCGTCAACATGGGATCTAGGACGAAAAACGATCCCCCCAGGGGAAGTGGTCGGGACCGTTCTGGCCGCGGATGGAAAGAAACGGATCGTCGGATGTCGAGGGGCAGGTCTTGAGGGAAGTGTGTCAGAAGGTTTTTTGTGGTGTCCATGCTTTTGGGGCCATTTCCGTGCCCCCAAGAAACTACTCAGGATGAAGAGCTCGCCCCGGGGAGGGGAGCCCTTGGGTCCAGGACCAGTTTCTTCCGGTACCTGGCTGTACCATGCCATGCTGGGGTGGCGACAGACCAGCACGAGCGTAGCTTCTCGCTGGTCCGAGCGGACTTCTGCTTGGGTGGGCGCTAGGCTGTTCTCCCCGCCGCGTGCCACCTCTCGGCGCGCCCTCCGCGCCAGGGAATCAGAGCTCCAGAGACCAGGACTGCAGACCAGGATTTTGCCAGATCCAGCGGGAGAGAACGGATACACGCCAGTCGTTGAAAGTAGGTTTTTTTGGAGGTCGAGGTCCCAATCTACTTCAAGCGCCCAAGGAACGATATGCTGTTGAGCCAACGTTTGCCATACTTTGGGCGTGCACGAACTTAATCTGCTTCATCCGCCTTCCTACTTCACGCCAACACCTACTTCTTCCGCTGGGCGGGTAGTGGACAATGTTTCGATCCACGGCTGTCGTTTTTCCGGGCGTGCCAAGCTCCTAGTTTATCACAAGGTCCTCGTGCCGGGGCTCTGGGGGAGGAGGTTGTGGGGAGACGGGTTCAGTGCCCGCCCAGGAAATTAGCGCGGAATTCCGACAGTTTCAGCTTCTTTGCTCGGGCCGGTCTTCTACCGAAGACGCCTACGGCGAACCATCGCCACCCCCTGCCTTTTCCTTTGGAGACGCCTGTGTGGCCAAACGTTGGGCCAGAGTCGGGCGAAGCTATTTGGCGATGTGCTTCCCCCAGCCGTTGTCAAAACCCTCAGGGGAACACCTGGGGGCGGAAGAGAGATATAGAGAGAGGGAGGGAGGGAGGGAGAGGGAGAGAGGAAGAATCCGCCATATCTGACTATGACATCCTACTCCTCCCGCCCATCCCTTCACATTGCGCTGTTTTTGTTATCTATCCCCCGATGCATGTCATAGCGGTCCTGGAATTCCAAACAGGACCTCGTGTTATACGAAATAGGAAAGAAGGAAAGCTGCGCACATTGGAGGAGGAGAGGGCGGATGAGCAGGATGATGAGCAGAAGGAGCAGAGGAAGGATGTGGCAGTTTGAGGACGAGGACGAGCAGCAGCAGGAGCTGGAGCGACAGGAGCGCGAGCAGCAGGATGACCATGGGGATGGCGGAAGAGGGGAAACGGAGGGGGGCGGCAACGAAAAGAGGACTCAGATGCAGCGGGGGCCCGACCACAAGAGACCTTCCACAATAAACCCAACCCTGAGACCCCAGGACGTCCATGGATTCTTGGCGTGGGAGCGTCGCGCTTTCCACTGCAAAACTGTCGAAATCCAAGAAAACCAGGGCACCCAGGAGGCAAGCAGGATGTTTCTTGGCATGGGCCCCCGCTGTGCAGCAGTGCGGCCTGGGCCCTATCTGGAGGACACACCTCAGCACGCGGTGCTTCCCTCCTCGAGCCAGGGTTAAGTCGGGCGTGTCCCTCTACAGGAGGAATTTTCAGAAACAGTCAACCAAAATAGTCTTGGGACGATTGTTTGCCTATTTATAACTGTTCTGGACTTTGTTTGACTCTTTTACATTTTGCCTCCATAATCCGCCTCTAGGAGGACGCGCCCGACCTAAAAATGGTGTCGGAGGACAGCTCCGCATCGCCGATGCACCCCGATTTTCTCCATCCCGGCGTCGCCGACGCATCGGTGATGCGGCGCAGTCCTCCGACCCCATCCGCTCGGGCTCCATTTGGGCGGCCTGGAGGTGGGGAGCGAAGACTGGGGCAAGTTGGGGCGTTGAGCAAGTTGGGCTTTCGGCTTGTGTTTGGCTGAGGAATATTCAAGAATAGCCCAAACAAATAGTCTTGAGACGATTTGTTTTTGATTGTGTTGACTATGTTCGACTACTTTTAAGTGTTCCTCACAAGTCCGTCTGGAGGAGGACATGCCCGACCTCACGATAGAGAGGGGATGCGGAGGCGGAGGCGGAGGCGGAGGCGGAAGCGGAGGCGAAGAAGGGGGAGGAGGAGGAGCAGCAGGAGGAGGAGGAGGAGGAGGAGGAGGAGGGGGGTTCGAACCCGACCTCAAGATAGAGGGTGGGGGGACGACGGGCCGCCTCCGCCCGGGGGCGACGGGCCGCCCCTGCTGCAGCGCAACGACGACGGCGCCCGGGTGGCCCTCGGCGACGACTCGCAGGCGGCCCACCCCGGGGGCGACGGCACAGGAGCCCCGATGTTGTGCTTTGCGAGGAGGAGGAGGAGGAGGAGGAGGAGGAGGAAGGAGGAGGAGGAGGAGGAGGAGGAGGAGGAGGAGGAGGAGGAGGAGGAGGAGGAGGAGGAGGAGGAGGAGGAGGAGGAGGAGGAGGAGGAGGAGGAGGAGGAGAGGAGGAGGAGGAGGAGGAGGGAGGAGGAGGAGGAGGAGGAGAGGAGGAGGAGGAGGAGGAGAAGGAGGAGGAGGGGGAGGAGGAGGGGGAGGAGGAGGAGGAGGAGGAGGAGGCGGAGGAGGAGAGGAGGAGGAGGAGGGGCAAGAGGAGCAGGAGCCTATTTTGTTTGTTTTTGAAAGGTACCGATGCCGCTGCCCTTGACTCGTCTTTCTCTTTCTGGGGGCCTCCTGGGAGGCCCCATATGGTTCTTTTTGCGAGAGGTCCAGGAGAGGAAGAGGTACCGATGCCGCTGCCCTTGCCTCGATTTATTTTCCCTTTTGTGGGGCCTCCTGGGGGCCTCCATTTGTGCTCTGCGAGAAGTTCAGAAGAGGAAGAGGTACCGATGCCGCTGCCCTTGCCTCGTTGTCCCCTTCTGGGGGCCTCCTGGGAGGCCCTCGTCGCCTCCGCTGGATGCGCTTCGAAATTTTGGTCAGAGCGCACCCCAGGAGAGGTCCAGGGAATAGCGGTATCTGTACCTTCTGGCTTCCACAGAGGAAGGGAAGCCCTTCGTGGCAGAGATCAGAGAGAGGATCAGCGGAGGAGGCTGGCGCGCCCGAAATCATACTGAAAGGTAGGTGCGGTGCCCAACAGCAAATGGACAGCGGCCGCTGTCGTGCAGGCGACATTCTGTTTCAATTTGGACACCGTCCACAGCGGTACAGGCACCGAGTCATGTTCAAAATGGATTGGAACTGCTGTCGATCTTCGTCCCCATTCTCTCCGTACCCATTGCGATCACATGCCATCGCATACCGATGGGAAGAGTGCCCGCACCAGTTGGCTGGGCCAGGCCCGTCCCAGGGGGTGAGTGTGTGGCTTGTGCCTCGTCCATGTCTGTCGTCCGTCGTCCTCGTTCGTCTTCGCTCCGCTGTCCTCGTCTGTCGTCTGTCGTTCATCCGTCGGTCGTGCCGTCTGAGGAGGCAAAAAGGTACATCTATCGCTACTACCTGCAGAACTTCAAGGGCAATGCACAGTGCCACAAGGGCCAACTTCAGAGCTCTGGGCACCACCGGCAAGGCACCGAGAGCCCCCAGCAGAGCTACAATGGCCACAAGCAGGCTTGCAAGGGCGTCGTGCAGAGCCACGCGGGACACCTGCATAGCTTCACGAGCCACCAGCAGATCCAGGAGGGCCACTCGCCGAACTTCCTGGGCAAAGCGCAGAGCTTCGGTGGCCACTAGCTGAGCTGCGAGAGACACCAGCTGAGCCACGAGGGCCGCACTCTGAGCTACGAGGGCCACATGCCACAGGCGAAGCTACGAGATCCATTAGCTGAGCTAGAAGGGCCACCAGCTGAGCTACAAGAGCCACCGGAAGAGCTACTACAAGGGCAACGACCTGAGCTACGAGGGCCGCCGGATGAGCTTCGAGGGACACGAACAGGGCCACCAGAACTTCCAGCTGAACTATGAAGGCTACAGGCTACAAGCTGAGCTACGCGGGACACGAGCAGAGCTTCGAGTGCCTCCAGCAGCGCGGCCAGCACCACGAGCCGAGGCCACGAGCCTAGCCTCAAGATCCACCGCCACAGCTACGAGGACAACTTGTTGAGCTGCGAGGGCTACGAGCTGAGCTACGAGGGCCACGAGCAGAGCTCCACGAGCCACCTGCAAAGCGACCTCAACCATCAACTGAGCCACGCACACCAGCTGAGATACGACGACGGCCGCGAGCAAAGCCCCACGAGCCACAAGCGGAAATAAGGTAGTCACCAGCTGAGCCACGAGGACCACAAGCAGGGCTACGAGGATCACAAGTTGAACTACGAGGGCCACCAGCTGAGCTACGACAGTGGCCACAAGCTGAGCTACGCGGGCAACGGGCTGAGCCTCCCCAAACGGTCTCGCCCGAGGAGAAGGAGGAGAGCGACGAGCAGAGCGAACCCATGCTCATCATGCACGCCAATCTGGAGGGTTTGGGCATCCCCAGTTTGGCAGACAAATGTGGGGCTTTCACGGCGGATTTTGCCACCAGAGCCATCGTCAAACTTGCGCGCCCCGCTCAAAAAAAACGACACGATGGCACCCTCATAAATGAGCGCTCTCTGCCATTAAGGGGACGGGGACGAGATGGTCAGCGAGCTGGGCCCCGCTGGAGCCATCAAGGCGCTCCTGTCCGCCCACGGCCACAACGAGGCGCACAAGGGCCAGATACCTGCGGGCCAGCGGCCTGTGCTTTGGCCCGCAGCAAAACTGATACGACGGAAGGAGGACGCGCCAACCAGCAGCGACGAGTGTTCAGATGGTGTCGAGGACGGCGTTGCCTGCCCGAGCGAAGACTTCTGGAATGCAGGGTATGATGACCTGGCCAATGACGACTTCGGGGCGCCTCAAGCAGCCGAAACTCGAGTAGAAGACGAGACCAGCCAGCCTGAAGTCGGACGACTGCGTGCACTGAGAGCGCCGCCCGCTACATGTTTTCACCTCTGGGGCCGCTTGGACTCCAAGCCGTGTGTCCAGTTTTCTGCCTGCCCGCGCAGGCACAGCTGGGAGGCGTGCCCTCGTGGCCTTGGGGGAAGGGGCCCTTGGTCCCCTCTCCTGGCTGCTGGGTACTGGGCCCCCCGCAGCCCGGCCCTGGCGAACTGCCAGCACGGCCAGAAATATTGCACATCGTATCACCTCTCCCTTCTCCCTTTCCTCCGCGTTGTCCTGTGAGGGTGAATCCTCCTTCTCCCTCCCTCTCTCCTCCCCGAGTGGGCTGGCCAGAACAACGATTTGTGCTTTGCCAGTGCGTACGGTTTTTTCCAAGCGTCTGGTCATTGGGATCGTTTTGGAGCGGCGCGAGAGAGAGAGGAGGAGACAATGGACATGAACGCGGAGGAATGGGTGGGTGGGGATGAGAAGGAGGAAGACGGGGAGGAGGAGGAGGAGGAGGAGGAGGAGGAGGAGGATGAGGAGGAAAGGAGGAGAGGAGGTGGAGGAGGAGGAGGAGCAGAACGCGGAGACACAAACGGCAGCAACAGGACGAGCTGGAGATTGTGGATGATGGTGGTGATGTGGACGAGGAGGAAGAGAAGGATGAGGATGAGGATGAGGATGAGGATGAGGATGAGGATGAGGATGATGAGGATGATGATGATGATGATGATGATGATGATGATGATGATGATGATGATGATGATGATGATGATGATGATGATGATGATGATGATGATGATGATGATGATGATGATGATGATGATGATGATGATGATGATGATGATGATGATGATGATGATGATGATGATGATGATGATGATGATGATGATGATGATGATGATGATGATGATGATGATGATGATGATGATGATGATGATGATGATGATGATGATGATGATGATTGATGAGGAGGAGGAGGAGGAGGAGGAGGAGGAGGAGGAGGAGGTGGATGGAGGAGGAGGAGGAGGAGGAGGAGTAGGAGGGGGCGGAGGATGAGGAGGAGGAGGAGGAGGAGAAGGAGGAGGAAGGAAAGGGTGGACCAGGACAATGAGGCCCTGGCCGAATCGCTGGCAGAGTCAAGGGGTTTTTGTCGCGTATTCTGCTCGAGCGCTCGGCAGACTGGCGACGAACGCTCAGGTGGAGCTCGCCTTGGCCGCGTCAGGGAAATTGGAGGCCGAAGCAAGGAGAGGAACGGGAGGAGAACGGGAGGAGAATGGGAGGAGGAGGAGGAGGAGGAGGAGGAGGAGGAGGAGGAGGAGGAGGAGGAGGAGGAGGAGGAGGAGGACGAGGGGGGGAGGAGGGGGAGGGCGAGGAGGAGGAGGAGGAGGATGAGGAGGAGGAGCAGGAGGGGGAGGAGGAGGAGGAGGTGAAGGAACTGGTGGGACCAGGAGGGGAGGAGCGGGACGGGAGCGGGGAGGAGAAGGGCATCGGGTGGAAATGTAAGGTTGCGGATGATAATTTTTGGTGAGTATCGTGATGGTGAGTGATGGTGAGTGCTATTTGCGGTGATGGCGGGGGGTTGTGGTGAGTGTGTGATGGTGTTGCTGGTGATGGCCAGTGGTGATGTTTGAAGTGATGGTGATGTTGATGTTGTTGGTGGTGTTGTTGGGGATGATGCGGCGGGCACGAGGAGGGTGTGATGGAGGAGAAGGACGACGACGACTTCGAGCACGAGGAGACCGGCGAGAAGAACACGAAGCACCAGTCAGAGCGATCGGGGAGGGGGAGGGAGAATAAGACCGACCTCAACCACTTCGGACTGTTCAGAAAACTATTTCGGTCAGGTTACAACCACTGGAAGCGGACAGATCGCAACCTGAAGGATTCCATTTTTGTGGAAAACACCGGATTGCAACCGATCCAAGCGCTTCTTCAGAGTTTCCGAAGAACTTCTGCAGAGCTTCTGCAGAGCTTCTGCAGAGCTTCTGCAGAGCTTCCGAAGACCTTACGAAGAGCTTCTGCAGACCTTCTGCAGAGCTTCTGCACAGCCAGATTCTGGGCAAGCTATTGGGCTATATGCTCCCCCCACCCGTTGCTGATGCCCTGTGGGGAACTCTTGGGGGAGACGGGGGTATTATGAGGAGGAGATGGAAGAGAGAGGAGGATGAGGAGGAGGAGGAGGAGGACGAGGAAGGAAGACTGATACGACGACTACTACCACTACCTCTACCATTATTATTTTAACTATTTCAACGACTACTACTACTACTACTACTACTACTACTACTACTACTACTACTACTACTACTACTACTACTACTACGACTACTACTACTACGACTACGACTACTACTACTATTACGACTACTACTACTACTACGACTACTACTACTACTACTACTACTACTACTACTACTACTACTACTACTACTACTACTACTACTA